ATACATATAGATAGATAGATAGATAGATAGATAGATAGATAGATAGATAGATAGATAGATAGATAGATAGATAGATAGATATTGAAGTTACACTGCAGAGGCTTGGGCGGTGAGAAGAGGCACCGCCTGCCCTGTTTTAATGAAGCTTTTAAATGCAGTCACTATCGTCCATTCTGGCCGGGAGCTCCCCCTGTTGGTTCCACATTCGCAAGATCCTTCTGCCTCAGTCTCTCAAGTGTTGTGACTACAGATGTGCTGGTCTCAGCCCATCCTCCCTCCATTTTTTACTTGGGAGACAAGATTTTATTATGTAGTCCATGCTGACCTTTAACCCCCTATGTAGCAAAGGATGATCTTGAACTTCTCATCTTCCAGCCGCTACCTCCAAAGTGTTTTTATTGTGTGTGGGCAAGCAATCAAAATTGTTCTTTGTGATTTTCATTTTTTGAGACTAGGCTGTTCTCACAAAGATCCACCTGCCTCTGTTCCCCACCCCCGGAGAGCTGGGATTAAAGGTGTTCATCATTACACCAATTTTTTTTTTTAATTGAAAAGGGATAGCACAGCATGGTCACTCACGCGTATAATCGCAGCACTGGTGAGGCTGAGGCAGGAAGGTCTCCAAGTCAAATTCTGGAAAATCTTGTTGGTTTGTCTGTTTGAGACAGGGTCTCCATGTAACTTGTCTGCCCTGGCCTCAAACTCACAGAGATCTTCCTGCTTCTGCCTCTTGGGTGCTGAGATTAAAAGTATGCACCATCATGCCCAGCTTAATTCTGGAAAATCTGGTGTGTGTGTGTGTGTGTGTGTGTGTGTGTGTGTGTGTGTGTGTGTGTGTTTTCAAGAGAGAGGGTTTCTGTGAGTAACAGTCTTGGCTGTCTTGGCATCTGCTCTGTAGACCAGGCTGGCCTCAAATTCACAGAGATCTGCCTGCCTTTCTCTCCCAATTAAATCCCTGCTGGGATTAAAGGTGTGAGTCACCACTGCTTGGCAGTTCTGGAAAATCTTAAAGCTTTGTTTATTTTTATTATGATGGTTGTGAGCTACCCAATGTGGGAACTGAACTCAGGTCCTCTGCAAAACAGTACCTGCTCTTAACTGTTGAGCCATCTTTCCAACCCCTGACTCTGGGAAATCCTTTTTGTCTTTTGAAATTTTCCCTAATGAACCTCTGAATTTTTTTAGAATCCATGGGACATCCTGTTTTTAGTTCTAATGTCAATTAATTCAGGTCCTCTCTCTCTCTTGATTAGTTTGGCTATCTGGTTTGTCTTTGTTAAGAATCAGCTGGGGCTGGAGAGATGGCTCATTGATTAAGGACACTGGCTGCTCTTCCAGAGGTCCTGAGTTCAATTTCCAGCACCCACATGGTGGCTCACAACCATCTGTAATGAGATCTGGTGCCCTCTCTGACTATAGGCAGAACACTGTATACCTAATAAATAAATAAATCTTTATTAAAAAAAAAAAAAAGAATCAGCTCTTGGGCTGGAGAGGTGGCTTACTGGTTAAGAGCACTGGCTTCTCTTCCAGAGGTCCTGAGTTCAATTCCCAGCTACCACATGGTGGCTCACAACCATCTGTAATGAGATCTGGTGCCCTCTTCTGGTGTGCAGGCATGCATACTGACAGAACACTGTACATATAATAAATAAATCTTAAAAAAAAAAAAAGCTGTTTCACATTTCTTTTTCTCCTCTTTTTTAAAATTATTTATTTATTTTAATATTGTGTGCATTGGTGCTTTTCCTGCATGCACATCTGTGTGAGGGCGTCAGATCCATTGGAACTGGAGTTACAGACAGTTATGAACTGCCATTCGGGTACTGGGAATTGAACCTGAGTCCTCTGGAAGAGCGGCCAGTGCTCTTAACTGCTGAGCCATCTTTGAAAATTTCATTCAATGTATTTTTTTTAATTTTATTTTTTTCTATCATCAGCTTGATACAGTACAAATTCTTATCCTAATAGTAAAATGTTTCACTGAAGCTTGCCCAGTGATTGAGTAAAACAAAAACTTATTCTAAGCCACAGTCATCCTAGGGTCCCCCCTAGCCTCCCTGGATCTGTGGGTTGCAGTCTGATTGTTCTTTGCTTTATATCAAGTATCCACTTATGAGTGAGTACATACCATGTTTGTCCTTCTGGGTCTGGGTTACCTCACTTAGGATGATATTTTCTAGTTCCATCCATTTGCCTGCAGATTTCATGCTGTCATCATACAATGTATTTTTAAATTATTATTTTTAAGTGTATATGTTTTGCCAACATGTATATCTGTGCACCATGTATGCCCTTGGTATTTGCCGAGGTCAGAGGGCATCGGGTGCCCTGGAACCATAGTTCTAGATGGTTATGTACTGTCAGGTGGGTTCTGGGAGTCGAACCTGGGTCCTCTAGAAAAGCCACAGTGCTCCTAAACGCGGAGCCATCTGTGCAGCTCCTCTGGGAAATCTTTAAAAGCTTTCTTTTCCTAATAGCTCTCTGACCTGGAAGAACAGCAATGTCATCATCAGAATCCAGCAAAAAAAGGAAACCCAAGGTGATCCGAAGCGACGGAACCCCAACTGAGGGGAAACGGAACCGAACTGATACTGAGCAGGTGAGATTAGCCAGGGTTCCGTGATGCTGGGAAACTGGGGACTGTGGCCAAATAACTGCTCGTGAGTGTGCAGGAGCTCAGGGTCTCGTGTGCAGACCAGGTGACTCGAATTCCCGTGATGGACAAAAGATGAGCGTTCACAGCAGGTGCCAGCCCATCGGATATGATTAGTGTCTGCACAGAGCATGTTCCAGCATGCTGTTCCCAGTTTCCCTGTCGTCCTAAGGTTGGCACTAACTGCACAGCTCTAGAGCTCCTGAGAGATTTCATTCTTGGTACCAGAATCATGTGGCCACAGTACTTCTGTGGCCAAGGAACACTTGTCATCAGTGGGATTTTCTATTCCTTTTATCTATTTCTCTGTCCAGAAATCTATCAAGATGATCCATGACTTAGAATGTACAATTTTTTTTGGGAGGGGGGCAGTTTGAGACAGGGTTTTTCTGTGTAGCTTTGCGCCTTTCCTGGAACTCACTCTGTAGCCCAGGCTGGCCTCAAACTCACAGAGATCCACTTGCCTCTGCCTCCCGAGTGCTGGGATTAAAGGCGTGCACCACCCCTGCCCGGCGAGATTTTTTTTCCCCCCCACTGATCACAGCATTGTTGATTTGTTTGTTTTTAGGTCTTGTGCTATGTATAGTCTAAGCTGGCTTGAAGTCAATATTGTCCTGCCTCAAACTTCCAAGTGCTGTGATTATAGGAATATACCACAATCCCTGGCTAATAGTGCTGTTTAACTTTTTGTATGTGTATTTATGTTCACGTGTGTGTGGGTGCACATGTATGTGTGTGTATGCACACATGGTGTGTTTGTGCCTGCAGGCTCCCAGTTGATATTGGGTATCTTCCTTGGCCACTCTTTACCTTATTTATTGAGGCAAACATCTATGTTTATTTGAATGAGAAATTTCCTTGATCAGCATGGACAATGTAGTCCTATCTTGTTTGAAAATAAATTAAAAATCCACTGTATTCCCAGTGAAGTTGTTTTGGGCTGAGATGTGAAGTGACAGGCAATTCAGAAGATGTGTGGTATGTATCTAGGGTATGTGGCACTTGTGTGCCATGGCGAACGTGTAGTAACAGTCAGAGGACAGCTGTAGGAGTTGTCTCTTCAGTGATGCCAATCCAGAACTCAGGTCATCATGCTGACCCACAGGTCGTGTTTTACTTTGTTTTTGATATTTCTCTTTTCTGAATTCTTGACATCAGGCATGCATTACTCTGTAATCAAAAAGCGACAGAGGTTTCTATTTTGAAAACAAGAGAAACATTTTAGAGGCTGGAGAAATACCTCAGCAATGAAGAACTCAATTAAGTCCTCTTATAGAGGACCTAAATTAAGCTCCTACTACCTGTGTTTGGTGGGTAAAATCACCTATTGGCCACTGCCTTTGGCTTCCACATGCACATAACCACTCTCAGATACACACATATACATAATTTTAAAATATTAAAAATAAATTATTGACCAACCTGGTCTACAGAGTGAATTCCAGGATGGCCAGGGCTGTTACAAAGAGAAACCCTGCCTGGAAAAACCAAAAAAAAAAAAAAAAAAGAGGGACTAATTGCATAAATGGCCTGATTTGGGATTTCCTTATAATGTTTAATGTTCTGTTTTGTGAAACAGTATCTCATTGTGTAGTCCCAGTTGGCCTGGAATCACAATGGAGACCAGACTGGTCTCACACAGGCAATTGTAATGTTCTTACATAACCGAGGTTCTCATTCTTATTGTTTGTGATCCTGGCAGGGAGACTTCACCATCTACCCAGGACCTCTCTTCTTTCCTCCACAGGAAGGCAAATACTACAGTGAGGAGGCTGAGGTTGACCTGCGGGACCCTGGCAGAGACTATGAGCTGTACAAGTACACTTGCCAGGAGCTGCAAAGGTTGATGGCCGAGATCCAGGACCTGAAGAGCAAGGGCAGCAAGGATGTGGTGAGGAGAAAGGCTACATGCCCCGCCTGGTGTGTCTGTACAACTGGAGCTCCTCTTGTGGTCATGAGTCTCTTCCTGATCTTGTCCTCTGTCCCACGTGATTAGGGTTGGGGTCTGGAGGATCCAGAGATCTGCCTATTCATTTGTTAGAATTTGTCATAGCAACTCAATCTCCCATTATAGTATTGAAAGTACAAGGTAACTTTTTTCTATGACTTTGATATTATCGACTTAATATTTTTTACATGTCAGGCATTTTGCTAAGTATTGAGAAGTATGTGCAAGTAAATCACAGGGCCCAAAATGAAATTATCATGGGTGTTAAATGAATTAGTCAGGCAGATATAAAACTAAATAGTGTGTCTAAAGACTAGATGGGTGAGTTAAAGAATTCACTTTTTCCCATCAGTCTTATTTATTTTCATGTATGTTGGCCAATATTTAAGATTGTTACATTCTATAGCTCTATTATTATAACCAAGTTTTATAGCTATAATTTTTATTGCTGTCATTTAAATTATTTATAGAGGCCAAATTTTATGGTATGGCATTCTGTTGTGAGGGTCTCCATAAGATCAGTACAGTAGGTGTAGGTGGTATTATGCAAACTGGTTGCATTTGCTTTTTCCTTCCTTCCTTCCTTCCTTCCTTCCTTCCTTCCTTCCTTCCTTCCTTCCTTCCTTCCTTCCTCCCTCCTCCCTTCCTCCCCCCTCCCTCCCTCTTCCTCCCTTCCTCCCCCCTCCCCTCCCCCCCTGCCTCCCCTCCTTCCTCCTCCCCTCCCTCCCTCCCTCCCTCCTTCCCTTCCTACTTTCCTTTGTCTTTGAAACTCCCTGTGTAGACCAGGCTGGCACTGAACTCTTGCCTCTGCCTTCTGAGTGCTGAGGTTAAAGGCATGTGTCATCCTGCATGGCCTTAGTCATTTCTTACTGTCCCAGGCTCCCTGTGCAGTCCGTGGAGTCCGCTTATGGCCCTGGATGCTGGGGTTGGTTTGGCAGCGCCTAGGGTCTGAAGGGAAGGAACCGAGCTGCCGTCTGTTGGTGATCTTTACCATTTCCTCTGTGCACAGGCCATGGAAATTGAAGAGCGAAGGATCCAGAGCTGTGTGCATTTCATGACTCTAAAGAAGCTAAACCGCTTAGCCCATATCCGGCTAAAGAAAGGAAGAGATCAGACCCATGAGGTAGAGGTGACTTCTCATCCCTCCTCTCTGTCCTCTCTTTAACCCACCCTTCACCCCTTCTCTGACTTTGCTGATGCTTGTCCCACCCCAAATCGCCCTGCTCACCTCGTCTTCCTTCAGGCCAAGCAGAAAGTTGATGCCTACCACCTGCAGCTTCAGAACCTGCTCTACGAAGTGATGCACCTGCAGAAGGAGATCACCAAATGTCTGGAGTTCAAGTGAGTTTGGGAGGACAGGGCCTTGACACGCATGTGGTGCTGCTTGTTCTTGCATGGTCCAGTGTGAGCCATCCCTGTATAGGAGCATCAGCAGCCTGGAAGACTGCAGGGTGGGGAAAGGGTCAGTAGATTACGCTGAGCGGGAGAAGCTCAAACAGTCCTTCCAAACTACACAAAGAACTGTGAAAGCCTCTCTGACCCTTTTGCATTTTGGGCTCAGTGCTTGTTAAAAGCAAATCTTTCTCCTCAACAAGTATTGTTATTATATTCGCCTACTGTGCTAGAGAATACCAGTACCTACTTGCCCTATTGAAAAAATAATGTACCTGTTGGTCAGCATCTCCCTCTCCAGTGCTATTTTTAATACTATGACAGTTGAAAATGTATAAAAATAACATGAAAGAATGTGATGCCCTAGTCTATAATCATTGCTTAGATAGAAATTGGCAAACTCATAATATAGTGGAACTCAGGCAGGTGGCCACAGAGAAGGATCATGGGCTCTGGAGTTAGCATCCAGCTTCTGCCTCTCACTAACTGTATGATCTTGGACACATTTGAAAAATGGAAAAAGAGCCAGACAGTGGTGGCACATGCCTTTAATCCCAGCACTCGGGAGGCAGAGGGCTCCCTGAGTTTGAGGCCAGCCTGGTCTACTGGGTGAGTTCCAGGACAGCAGGGCTACATAGAGAAACTGTCTTGAAAAAACAAAAACAAACAAGAAAATTTTTTAAAATAAAGCATAGCTAAATTATATAATAATAAGTAGTAATGTTTAAGTGGAGATAAAATCCTCATCTCTTAAGAACTAGATGAGGTGAGGATAGCATGTAATAGGTTCTTATTTATTTATTTTTTGGTTTTTCTAGACAGGGTTTCTCTGTGTAGCCCTGACTGTCCTAGAAATTACTTCTGTAGCCCAGGCTGGCCTGGAACTCACAGAGATTTACCTGCCTCTGCCTCCTGAGTGCAGGGATTACAAGTGTGTGCCACCACCGCCTGGCATGGTTCTCCTTAGTGTGTGGTGGCGCTGATGCTTATTTCTCCGGGACCTGAGCACTCAGCTCCATTAACCCAGCAGAGAACCAGGCTTTTCTTTTGTAAGGATATCTATAAACAAGCAGAAATTAAAGCCTCTGGATTTTTTCCCATATCCAGTCCTGCCAGTCTGGCCTTTTCTCTTCTTATACTTATTCATGAAATGTGAGGATTTAGCTCAGTGGTAGAGCGCTGGCATAGCCCTGGGTTTGGGCCTCAGCTCTGGAAAAAAAGAAGAAAGGAAGGAAGGAAGGAAGGAAGGAAGGAAGGAAGGAAGGAAGGAAGGAAGGAAGGAAGGAAGGAAGGA